AAACATATCATTTGAGTATAATTAGTGGTGAGGGAAAATAATGAAAAGCAAGTCGAGAGAGTTGAGTGAAACTGTGGATGTGAAGAGGTTAAGGCGTGACGTAATCAAAGGGGTAGAAAACTAGAACTAGGAGAACCTTAAAGATAGTGGGTGGAGGAGGATTCCTTAAGAAGAAGATGCAAGGAGATGCTGTAGGGAGAGAAGAGAATAAAAGATTGGAGCGGCTGAGAGTACATGGCACAAAACAAAACAAGTGGGCATGGCTTTGTATAATGACATAAAAAAAAAAAAAGGAGAGAGGTTCATATTAGGTTGAAAAGCTATGCTTTACTTCCTTGGTGTTACTACCTCATTGGAGTTATTGGCTATAAATAATTCTGAATCCGTTTGTTTTTTTTCTTCTTTTTGCAGAAGTGAATTAGGCCAGTTGGTTAGGGGAGTGAGTCCGTTCCCTTGCACTCAAGTTTGAGTTTCTCTCCCTGTAAATTAAATTAATTTATCTAAACCGGCCAACTCAAGTTCAAGTCGAGACTGTTAATTAGTTGGGATCAGAAACCAAACTTATTCGAATCAAGTTCAAAGATGCTCAACCGAAACCTGACATGTGAGTTACTTTTTTTAATTCAGATTTTCTATTTGGTCAGACTTGGTTTAATTCAGATTAACATGCATGCTCAACACATTCGCACAAATAATTTAACATTTGTTTTCTTGGTACAAACGAGAGGCAAGTGGGAGATAATATAACTGTTTTATGCATTTCCTTGCTTAGCACATCCTATATATAAGGTCCATATCATGAACAGTACTTTGCCTTGGTTAAGTTTCTTTGCACATGCTAGAACATGTATATTTCACATGATGCATCATTACCTGCTACTTCTCACACATGGCTTTCTTCTTCCCTCTATTTCTTCTGGTCAAAGCTCTTCAATAAGTAAATGACATTCTTTTCCCTTCCCACAAGTAACCAAGTCAAGAGTGACCTAATCAATAAAATAAACCCTCCCCACATTCAAAATTCACCATCAAGACTGGACCATAAATCTTTGGTTTTCCTTGGCAGGCAAGCAAGTAAGAAAGAATCACACCAAACCCAAGCAAAACCATAAAGAATTTTTAACAGCTGTGGCTGAACACTTGGGGTTCAACTGAACCATCCATGGATGCCATTGGCCAATGCTTGACTGTCCCTTAAACAACTTTACAGCAAAGTCATCTCCATTTTCTAACACACTCAGCTGCCCACCTACCCACTTAAATAAATATATATTCCCAACTTCTCAATATTTTTATATATAATATATTTAATTTTTACAACAATGGAGCATGACCCATGAACCCCAACGGCGTTCCATGTCTGCTGGATCAAATCAAGAAGCTTATATAAGTTATTGTAATTAATCACTGT